TATTACACTTTCATTAGCACAAAATTATATTTACTCTTTCCAATCCCTCATTTTTATATACTTTAGCTATATTGTAAATGGTGCTCATTCTCAATGTCCCATAAGTTTGAAATAAAGGTTGACTGATTATTCAATAGGACCTTGATATTGGCCAGTACTGTTGGCCATCTGTATCCTGGTTGGGCTCTAGCTTTTACCATCACAATCCAACTGTTTATTTCATTTTCACAAATGTAAAAGGGTTGCAGGCAGTGAAAGCTGTGTAAGAAACCTCATGACCTGCTAAAGACGCCACTCAGCACCTGCCTGCAAGACAGAGAAGAAGCTGCATGGAGAGCTTCCTGAACTGCACGGCGACGGAGCGACAGAGGTGAGTGCGACGGGAGTGAAGAAATGAAAAAAGGCCGCGAGGAACGGAGGGGGAGGGAGAGAGCAAGTGAGGGTAAGAAAGAGAGCAAAGCTGGAGTGAGAGAAAGAGATTCCACTGGGAATGTTACAGTAGACGCTTCATAACCCAGACAATTTACACCATTTAAAGTCGTGAAAAAAAGTGAAAAAGGAAAGAAAGGGGGAAAAGGGCCTGGTCCCTGGCGCCTACTCTCAGGCACAGTCTCACCACACTCAGAGAGAGAAAGAAGTGCAAATGAGTAAATCACCTCATGATGTTAAGGACATGCAGCACTTTATAAATAACCCCACAGGGTGCCATCCTTCACACAGCCACAGTTTTATTTACTCACCAGTGAACACAGACGTCTTTTCTATGTAATAGAATTGGGGGAGAAGTGTTTTATATATAATGTACTTTATCTCAAAACTACTCCAAAGACAATGAGTGCATTTGTATGTAATTGTATGTAATGTATTATTAATAATCCAATATATGCAGAAAATCAGAGTCATTAATCTGATCAACATGTTTACATGCGCTTGAGTAATCAGATAACTGGGAAACTCCAGGTCTACATGAGTCAGACAATAATCAGATTTCTGCTTTGTAACCAGCCAATAAACTCACAGAAGAAGACGTGACGTAAACATAACGTAAAACTGAAACTTCATGAAGCTGCTTCAAAAAAATAAATAAATAAATAAAAAAAACGAAACATCACAGCACTTTCCCCTAAAATATGAACATACATCATCTAGAAGATGAAGAATATTTAAATCCTTCATTTCATTGAGAATATAGTTGGTTTCAGCGTCATTCCAAAAGTGTTTTGCTGCGTCAGCAACGCTGCTTGCTTATTTCCGGTACTGGCGTCTGTTTTTGCACATGTGCAGACTGAGGAATTCGAAAGAAATCAAAGTAAGAGTTTACATGCTCCGAGAAATCTGATTACTGAGCTAAAATCTCTTTTTATTGGCTTTCTTAATCAAATTTCTAGACCTTACTCTGACCTAAGAATTCAGAAGTACACTGTTTACATGACCATTTGAATAATCAGATAACTGCAGAAATCTGATATGATCAGATTACTGATTGCATGTAAACACACTCAAAGTCTCAGGCATCAGACACAAATCTGTAACCATTCCATGTAATGGAATTTTTGTGAGGGAGCTTTTACAGGCCTTAAAGGGCCCATATGCTACATTTTTGTTGCATTTAGTTTTCCCTCTGAGGTCCACTTATTGTGTTAAGTGTGATTTTATGCACCAAAACCATACATACATACATACATCATCTAAACCGCTTATCCTTCTGGGTCGCGGTGCACCAAAACCAGTCATAATTTATTTTTATATGGCCAATTTCCAACCTGTCTTTGTCCCTCAGAATTAAACCGATGTATGTAAATGAGCTCTGGATGCCTTGCATTGCACCTCATTTAAAAAGCAGTCTGGGTTGAAACACTCCTTATAACTTCAGTATGAACGGATAGGGACTAAACTGCTGTAGTCTAAATAGGTGGAAACATTTAAATGCATTCAAAACGGGCTGTTTTCACAGCTTACTTTTCATATTTGGACTGTATGAACTTGCTGAATGAGTTCTGAAGCTTTCACAATGTTCATATTGAGCTATACTGAAGTATTTTATTTCACACATTTTCCACAGTTTGGGTGCTTTGGATGTCTGGTTCCCATCACCACCACTGTGAACAACTCTGACTCATTTTTCTACAAATTTACACCAAACCACTCTGAGTGACTTTGTTTACATCTTAACTGTTGATTTACACAGAACTTTTGTGCGGAATTCCCTTTTAAGTTGGTCAGTATGACTGACAAACATAATACATCTCCAATCACAGAAGCTGCACTTACTGCATTTCACCACTGGGGGAGCTGGTTAGCATGATGAAACAGCAGTACTGTAACCTTGCGAGCTATATGGGCTGAAACCTGCTTTCTTGCTTTTTACGATCAGTCACCCTGCAACTGTTCCTCCTCCTCCACTCCCACAGTTGTCGAGTGTACGTTTTGTGTTCGGCCATAAATCGACACATTAAGTTTTAATCACTGAGCATCCGTCCACTCTCTCGGAACACCTGTTTCGTTGGAGCAGTTAAATCGCCCGTGAGCGCGGCGTGCTTTAAAAGGCGTGAAGAATTAAACTGTGCTGGAGGGGTGACTAGGAAAAGAGCAATAACGTGGAAAACAAATTGACTGGTCAAGAGAGACGCAGACGAGTGCTGTTTTGAAGGGTTACATCAGTGCTAACATCTCTTATCTTTTAATACAAATCTGACACCCTGACTGTGGGCAGCTGGCACGTCTCAGATTATAGCGCCATTAGGCCCCTTAAAGTTTAGCACCCATAACATGCAGTCATTTAGAAATGTTTCATTTCTTCTACATATTAGCAATTAGCAGGCCCGGTAATCATAACGAACAGGCAAATGAAATTAGACGAGTTTACTGCCAGGCACATTAGACCATATGGCGCAGCACTGGAGCTCTGTGCTCATTACTAACTAAAATACGCAATTACCCAGACCAGAGACTGCCTAACAGTTTATGCTTATTTGCATAGGGTGGGGCCTAACCTGCCTACTCACAACAAAGCAAATGCACTGTAAGTAGAAAAACCCACTGAACTACCACTGAATGTAAAATGACAGAACACAATTTATGACTAATGCGGGTCTCCAGGATGATACGTGCCATTTAGTTTGATAATTTACTACTGGAGTCCTTACCATGAAGAAGAACGAGCTTTAATAATAATGGATAAGATGTGATATGACTCACTGGTTCAGAATTACTGCTTATGGTCACAATATTTCCTTAAATAGATCAACATTTTAGTCTGTGTAACTCTCAAAAGCTAAACTGTGTTTTTTAATTCATTTCTTGTTTGTTTTCATTATTCTTTACTATTCATTATTCATGTTTGCAAACTTCCTTATCTAAGTCCAGCACCTCCACCACCTATAATGTACAGAACCCTCTGAGAGATGGTCATTTAAGCTAGTTAATGGTTGAAAAAGACAATATACACTACAGGTACAGAACAAAGTGAAGTTATTAAAGTCTTTGAAAAGATCCGGTTAGATCTGGTCACTTTTTCAATGTGTAGAGTCGACAGAATAACATATATTGGTACAGAAGGCATTCGGACAGCTGTTGAGTTTCAGCACCACAGCGCTGTTCAGCACTCACAGCTTGTGATAAACAACAACATGGGTCACACTTCCTGTAAACTCCAGCTCCTTGTCCACATGATACTCTGTCTGGTAATTGTCCATTTGCAAGTTTGTTCTTGAGGCCAAAGCTATTGTGCTATAAGTGCTATTTCAAAAAGCAACTACATAAACACTAACATTCAACAGTCTGCAATCACCGTCTTTGTTAAAGATACATGTATAAAACGATTCTATGAATAAAATGTTCAAAAAACAAATACCGGCTTGGGGCACAATACTAATTCAATAGCTTCTCAAGCAAAAGCAGAGTTTGCATACAGAAATGGGGCAACCGCCACACCGTAGTGTTGTTTTCTGATGTCGACAGGTAATGCAATCTTAAAAATGAGGTGAATGTTTAAAATAAGTAAATAAATAATTAAATAAATAAATAAATATACTGAAACATGAAACAGTGAATGATGGCCTTTTTTTTTAATTGACACTCAGTGTATATTGACAATGTCAGCAAGTTATATTAGTGAAGCTAAAAATGAAGCACTTATTTATTTATTCTTTTATTTTATTTTTACTCGATACGATGTTTAGTATTATACTTACAGTACAGTATTATAATTATGATATTTAATAGTGTCCAATTTCACCTCATAGCTAAGCCTTACATCATAGCTCGTTTACTTAAGGTGTAAAATTATAGAAAGATATTTTATACTCTTTTGAATCATTTGTTGTATAACAGTGAGAGGCTTGCTGTCCACATCTTCCAAAAAAAACAAAACAAAAAAACCCAAAAAACAAAACAATATCCTCTTCATTCCACTGGTCACCGGACAGCTCTACACGCTTGTAGGAGATCACTAACTGCCAACTCTGTTATGCTAAGTCAAAAGATGCTCACACTGGCTGGCATCACTCTGATCGATGGGGAGAAGGAGGACCATCTTGCCCACCCAGAGCAAGGACAACTATGCTCCCTTGCATTCGTGGTTGCAGGCAGCTGTGGCCTCACTGGAGATCAACGTCCCCATCTTGTCGAGCACTCAGCAATAGATAAAGACAATGCTGAGACAGTTGCATCCTTCATGCTTTCAAATCATCACTGTCAGAATAAAACCTCCTATCTCCGAAAAGGTAATTTTACAGGAGAAGGAAAAAAAAAACATTCATAACTGTAATTGGAGAAATGATTTATTTCAAGTAATGTTGGACCATTTCTGTTTGTCCGTTCACCATGAAAATGTAAGACAATGTAAAGGGCAGCTAATATTTACAAACTATGTCAAAAAATGAAAAATGAACATAGGAGATTTTGTCCCGACAGCGAGAATATGCAGCAGGTGTGACATAAGCTACATTTCTGTATAACGCTCAATACTCAAGCTCAAGTTTTCATTCTGTATTGTGTACCTGAGACTTGAGGCCTCCTGAAGGCTGGAGCCTGATCTCCGTCTGCCACTGCTCCTCGGTGGACAGATCCCGTGCTGTAATGAGGAGAGGAGAGGAGGTCCAGGAGGAGGAGGAGGAGGAGGAGAAGGAGGGCAGCTGGACCGTCCGGACAGACAACACTTCTCCATCCTGTTCGATCCGGAAATCTGTCGGCTGGCTGCATTCAAACCGCACGTGACCGCCTCGTCCACAGTCATGGAACTTCACTGAAGGAGAGAAAGAGAGAAAGAGAGATGGTAAATAAGAGAGATTCCTCACAGGAGGGTCCGTTGGTGAGGGGTAAATGCTTTGAAGGTGTCTGTGGCGATAATCTATCGTCTGTATGGTTTTGAATCATGACAAAAGAATCAAATGGAAATGAATCATGAAAATGTGTATATTCCAGGATTCACTGAATCATTTCCCCCAAAATAATTACTGAATCATTGTGTGGTCAGAGATTTACACCTCTGTTGTAGGTCGGTCTGTCTGTCCATCTGTCCATCCATCTCTGAGTCTTTGTTTTGGTCTCAGGTTGTACAGCAAGACTTGGTCAGAAATTCCTGAAGTACAAAACTCATACATTATGGATGGTGGCCAGCGGCCCCCCCAGGCCTTCCACAAACAGCTATGCGTTGAAAGGGGGAAAAAAAGCTGGTAGTGGGAAAAAGCGCTGCCCTAAAGGATACGGGCAGAATCACAACTAAGAAACACCTCAAAGGTCGGCACAATCCCCAGCAGTTAAACACACAACGCTGCCAATTAGGCTCCACTCAGAACCTCCATGCACCTAGATGGAATATTTTAGGCCTGTGTTGGATGAGTTATTTACACTTGCTGGAGGGCGGACGGAATGCAGGTCAGCACAGACGGGGTTAAATATGCAATGTTTATTAGTTCTGTTCGTTTTCTCATGACATAGCAGAGGTGCAATGATGTGCATAATAATAATCCTTTTACTTTTGATACAGGTACTGTGATATAATGTGCATTGTGAAGTGAACAGTCCCATTTCAAGATTGAAAATATTTTTTGGTGATATCAGAGATATTGCTTGGAATTATATAATATATATATATATATATATATATATATATATATATATATATATATATATATATATATATATATATATATAGCTTTCGGTGGAACAAAATCTTTACTTTTAATGTAAGTCAATGGAACCAGACTTTTTTCCAAGTAATTTTGGGCTGTTTCCTTTGGTCCATATATAAATACTTTTACACACAATGAAAAGGGCAAAAATCATTTTCAGATTATGGCAAGCACTGAAAATGTTCTTTCTCATAATTTCTGCATAATTAAATGGTTAAGACGTAAACTAAAAACGTAAAAGTCTCTGTTCTAGAGAAAGTAACTGAATCTGTTCACAGTGGTGGTGATAGGAACCAGACATCTGAAGTGCCTCTGAAGTGTCAGAGACATTATTTTATGATAGTTTTGAGAACGAATCATAATTTTTCTAATTATTATGATTTTTTATAATATGTATTTTTAAAATCCATTTAGGGTGGAGCAATACATCCAGGGTGTTGTAAGACTAAGTAGCCCCCCCGCACTTTGCTTTCCAGATTTATCATTATTTTTCTATCATTAAAATTACATACAAAAACTATTTAAAAAATATATTAGAAATAAAAAGACACATGTAGGTTCACTGGTGGTTTTGGATAGTAAATAAAATTATGACATTATGACCCCTGGTTCCCATCACCAACACTGGAGAGAAATAATGAAATCTGAGTCAGTAAGTTTGGGAGAATGCCCCACCATTATGAATGTTTGAGTGAGTTTATTTACAATAATTTAGAATTATAAAGAAATTTTGAAAAATTGGTGGAATTATCCTTTAATAGTTCTTTGACCAGATGCTGTTTTGACAAAATAAATGTTATAAATGCATAAAAACCTCAATACATTTGCATATCATCACAGCCCTATAATATATAGTCTGGGGCTGAAACAGACACCGGCTGACGCTCTTTGCAATTTAAAATACTGTTTTTATTCCCTCTTTTCTTCACTCCATCTCCACCTCTCGTTTCCTTGCTCTCTCCTTCACACACATACACACCCTCGCGCTCACTGAAGCGGCTCAGCGACACCGTGCCCTGACATCGGCTCCCTTCCTGGGCATGAAACTAGCTCCCCTGAGCACGCACTTCCCCTCCGAAGCTACACACGCAGCATACGATATATCACACTACTACAGCAGAGCACTGCTCCCGCCTTCAGTGCTGCTAATGATCTCTGCAGCATAATTAAAGCAGGAGGTATTAATAAAAACGACACCCTGGTCATTTACACACTAAAGGCGCTTTCTGAACTGCGAGCGCTGTAGGCTCTGGAGAGCAAAGGTGAGACCCAGAGTCAGCAGTTCTGAAGACGAGCGCAGACTCAGAAATTATCACCTCGCACCATCAGAAGGTGCAGTTATTACTGGCAGTAACAAAAGCATCGGTCGTAGCTCATTGAAACAAGCTGAGAAATTCAATTAAAAGTGCAGATTCTGAACTTTTAATCCAATTACAGTCGCGTTTGTAAGCAGAAGCAGAGATATTTTATCGTCATTTAAATTTGGTCTCATTTTTGTACAGAAAAAAACACCTTTTACAGTGTCACCGTGCTTTTATCATTGGCTGACATCAAAACAAGTGGAAAAAGTTAGACATGCAGAATTAAACCTGTTAATACAGAATATAAATGTACTTCATTAAGGAACTACACTCTTAAAAAAGGTGGTTCTTCAAGGGTTCTTTAGTAAAGGGAACCAGGAGCTCTGTATAGAACCATTTTACGCTTAAATTGTTCTTCTATTGTTACAATGTCCAGTTTGTAACAACAGAAGAACCTTTTGGTGCTATATAACACCATTTTCAAAAAGGTTCTTTATAGAACCATATACAACACATTCATGAAATGGTTCTAAATTGAACTCATGGTTGTACACAGAACCATTGCTTTTACTAAAGAACCCTTGAAGAACAATCTTTTTTTAAAAGTGCAACTATGTGATTAATTGGCCTCTCAGCCAATCACAACCATCTCAAAGCATTACACACTTAAAAATGATGGTTCTTCAAGGGTTCTTTAGTAAAGAACTCAAAGAACCCTTTGCTGTAGATTGTGAAAGATGCTTCATATCGACGGAGAATGTGCTGTATCTGGTTCTATAACTTTTAAAAAGTAGAACCCAAAAGCGTTCTTCTATTGTTACGAGCTTGACAGCATAACAGTAGCAGAACCCTTTTTGGTGCTATATAGAAGCCTTTACAAAAAGGTTCTATATTAAACCATATACAGCACATTCTCCATCAATCTGAAGAACTCTTTCACAACGTAAAGAAACCTTTAATCATGCAAAGCGTTCTTTAAGTGCTCAAGGGTTCTTCGTTAAAGAAACTGGTTCTATATAAAAACATGAACACTCAAAAAACCCTTTGCTTGTGAAAGTGTTCTTCAGATTAATAGAGAAAAGCTGTAGATGGTTCTATATAGAACATTTTTGAAAAGGGTTCTATATAGCACCCAAACAATAGCAGTGGGTGCTTTTTTTTAAAAAAAGGTTCTATATAGAACCATCTACAGCATGTTCTCAATCAATCTGAAAAACCCTCTTATGATGCAAAGAGCCCTTTAATCATGCTCAGGGTTTTTTGAGTGTTCATGGTTCTATATAGAACCATTATCTTTACTAAAGAACCCTTAAAAATCATCATTATTAAGAGTGCAATTCCTCCACCAAGTAGAGGAAAAAGGCCTCACAGTGAGAACGGCGGTTGTAGTAAATTAGTTATTACACTGAGAGATGTGGAAAGGTGTTACTCAGGACTGTGTTATTCAGATAAGAGCTCGAAGCCAAGCTGAAGTTAATTTGCTTCATTTGCTAACATTCATTTTCAGAGCAACGGTAATAAGAGTTTTCTTAGCTTCAGTGTTAAGATGGCCACAGCAACGGTATCTAGGAGATGCAGGACTCTTGCAGAGACTTTGGACAGATTTTTGCGAATAGTCAACTATGTAATTACATTGAAATAGAATAACAAAATGACAGTAATATCTCTACACTTTAAAGATTCATAAGGAATAGGACTGTACTTTACTAAGCTACAGTTCAAAAATAAATTATTTCAATAATGTAAAGCCAGTTAAACTGTAGATACAGGTGTAAAATGATTCTAATACACTAGACCTCTTCAGCTCTCTACTAATAATGAGGAGGAAGCTGGAAAAAGAAATGTTAGATGTGTGCGAAATGATGGGAAAGCTCTATAACACTGGGAATTAGGCTAAAATAAAAGTAATATCCAGAATTCATCATATTTCAAATTTGGGGATCACATTTTAGACCAGATAACTTGACCAAAAATGCATATCGCTGTTGTCGGAAGAAAACCTTGTATCTCCAAAGTGGTAACTTTACAGGAGAAGGAAAAAGCCTACTTTACTTTTAATGTAAGTCAATGAGCTGTTTCCTTTAGTCCATTCATCATGAAATGTACAAACAATGTAAAGAACAACAGACATTTTCGAATTATGTCAAAAACTCAAAAACAACAAAAAATGGAGATGCGAGGTTTTCTTGTGACAGCAGTGATATATTAGATAAACATAGTGTATTATTTATCATGTAATAATTGAAATATAGAAAAAAAAACATTGAAGCAAGCTGATTCCAAATCAACTTATCAACCAAATCAAATAGTCTTGAAGTGAGTGATTGTAAATATGGATGCATGATAGGAATCAGCCAAGATCAGAATCCGCAGCTATTTGCTCCAAACATGTAGTCAGCAATCTGCCAATTTATTATTTTTATGCTGGCCGATGATGTAAATAACGTCAGTCAGGGAAGTGCCCTCACGCTGTATTTGGATGCAGCTGCTACACCTGAACCAAAATATCACAGTATAATTACACGAGTCGTTGCGCTAAACAGCCAGCTGTCCTCTACTTTCTATGTAGCACTTTATTTGACTTTGTGTAATTTAGATATTAACAATTTAAAACGCCAGTTTGGTCAAATAAATAGTGAATAAATGTTGTTTAAATTGAAAGTTGTCAATAGAAAGTGCTTGAAATGTGCTATTGTGTTTCTCGTGTTTATTTATCCCCACACAGTGTGAGATTTGGTTATAAAATACTAAAAATACTGCTAATAAAATCAGGCATCTTCCAATAGCAGTCCCTAATTATTTATATAACT